ATGGTTTCATGGCTTACATTCAGGTATGTGATCCACTTCGAATTTACTTTTGTGTATGGGGTTAGACAATGATCCAGTTTCATTCTTTCACATGTAGCTGTCCAGTTTTGCCAATACTGGCTGTTGAAGAGGCTGTCATTTCCCCATTGTATGCCCATGGCTCGTTTATCATATATTAATTGACTATATAAGTTTGGGTTAATGTCTTGAGTCTCTATTCTGTTCCACTGGTCCATGGGTCTGTTCTTGTGCCAGTACCAAATTGTCCTGATTATTGTAGCTTTATAGTAGAGCTTGAAGTTGGGGAGTGAGATCCCTCCCACTTTATTCTTCCTTCTCAGGATTGCTTTGGCTATTCAGGGTCTTTGGTGGTTCCATATGAATTTTAGAACTATTTGTTCCAGTTCATTAAAGAATGTTGTTGGTAATTTGATAGGGATTGCATTAAATATATATATTGCTCTGGGCAGGGTGGCCATTTTGACAATATTAATTCTTCCTAGCCAAGAGCATATCATGAGTTTCCATTTGTTAATGTGCTCTTTAATTTCTCGTAAGAATGTCTTGTAATTTTCAGGATATAGGTCATTCACTTCCTTGGTTAGGTTTATTCCTAGGTATTTTTTTAATGCAATTGTGAATGGAATTGTTTTCCTGGTTTCACTTTCTATTAGTTCATTGTTAGTGTACAGGAAGGCCTCAAATTTCTGTGTATTAATTTTTTATCCTGCAACTTTGCTGTATTCCGATATCAGTTCTAGTAGTCTTGGAGTGGAGTCTTCAGGGTTTTTTATGTACAATATCATGTCATCTGCAAATAGTGACAGTTTAACTTCTTTACCAATCTGGATTCCTTGTATTTCCTTGTTTTTGTCTAGTTGCCGTGGCTAGGACCTCCAGTACTATGTTAAATAACAGTGGGGAGAGTGGGCATCCCTGTCTTCTTCCCGATCTCAGAGGAAAAGCTTTCCGCTTCTTGCTGTTCAGTATGATGTTAGCTGTGGGTTTATCATATATGGCCTTTATTATGTTGAGGTACTTGCCCTCTATGCCCATTTTGTTGAGAGTTTTTATCATGAATGGATGCTGAATTTTGTTGAATGCTTTTTCAGCATCAATGAGATGATCATGTAATTTTTGTGCTTCTTTTTGTTTATAGGTGGATGATGTTGATGGATTTTCGAATGTTGTACCATCCTTGCAACTCTGAGATGATTCCCACTTGATCATGGTGTATGATCCTCTTGATGTACTTTTTAATGTGGTTTGCTAATATTTTGTTGAGTATTTTTGCATCTAAGTTCATCAGGGATATTGGTCTGTAATTTTCCTTTTTGTTGGGGTCTTTGCCTGGTATTAGTATTAGGATGATGCTGGTTTCATAGAATGATTCTGGAAGTATTCCCTCTTCTATTTTTTGGAAAACTTTAAGGAGAATGGGTATTATGTCTTCTCTGTATGTCTGATAAAAGTCCATGGTGAATCCATTTGGCCCAGGAGTTTTGCTCTTGGTAGTTTTTTGATTACTGACTGATTTTCTTTGTTGATAATTGGTCTGTTTAGATTTTCTGTTTCTTCCTTGGTCAGTCTTGGAAGGTTGTATTTTTCTAGGAAGTTGTCCATTTCTTCTAGATTTTCCAGCTTGTTAGCATATAGTTTTTTGTAGTATTCTCTAATAATTCCTTGTATTTCTGTGGTCTGTTGTGATTTTTCCTTTCTCATTTCTGATTCTGTTGATGTGTGTAGATTCTCTTTTTCTTTTTATAAGTCTGGCTCAAGGCTTATCTATTTTGTTCATTTTCTCAAAGAACCAGCTCTTGGTTTCATTGATTTTTTCTATTGTTTTATTCTTCTTAATTTTATTTATTTCTTCTCTTATCCTTATTATGTCCCTCCTGCTGACTTTAGGCCTCATTTGTTCTTCTTTTTCCAATTTTGATAATTGTGACTTTAGAATATCCATTTTGGATTGTTATTCCTTCTTTACATATGCCTGGATTGCTATATACTTTCCTCTTAAGACTGCTTTCACTATGTCCCACAGAAGTTGGGGCTTTGTGTTGTTGCCATTTGTTTCCATATTTTGCTTGATCTCTATTTTAATTTGGTCAGTGATCCATTGATTATTTAGGAGCATGTTCTTAAGCCTCCATGTGTTTGTGAGCCTTTTTACTTTCTTTGTACAATTTATTTCTCGTTTTATGCCTTTGTGGTCTGAGAAGTTGGTAGAATTTCAATCTTTTTTAATTTACTGAGGCTCTTTTTGTGGCCTACTATGTGGTGTATTTTGGAGAATGTTCCATGTGCACTTGAGAGGAATGTGTATCCTGTTGCTTTCAGGTTCAGAGTTGTATAGATGTCTATTCAGCCGTCTGTTCTAGTGTGTTGTTCAGTGCCTCTGTGTCCTTACTTATTTTCTGTCTGGTGGATCTGTCCTTTGGAGTGAGTGGTGTGTTGAAGTCTCCTAAAATAAATGCATTGCATTCAATTTCCTCCTTAATTTTGTTAGTATTTGTTTCACATATGTTGGTGCTCCTCTATTGGTTGCATATGTATTTATAATGGTTATATCCTCTTGTTGGATTGACCTCTTTATTATTATATAATGTCCTTCTTTATCTCTTGTGACTTTCTTTGTTTTGAAGTCTATTTTGTCTGATACTAGTACTGCAACACCTGCTTTTTTCTCCTTGTTGTTTGCATGAAATATCTTTTTCCATCCCTTGACTTTTAGTCCGTGCATGTCTTTGGGTTTGAGGTGAGTCTCTTGTAAGCAGCATATAGTTGTGTCTAGCTTTTTTATCCATTCTATTACTGTCTTTTGATTGGTGCAGTTAGTCCATTTATATTTAGTGTGATTATTAAAGACATGTACTTATTGCCATTGCAGCATTTAGGTTTGTGGTTACCAAAGGTTCAAGATTAGCTTCTTTATTATCTTACTGTCTAACTTAAATTCACTTATTGAGCTATTATAAACACAGTCTGATGATTCTTTCTCTCCCTTCTTATTCCTCCTCCTCCATTCTTTGTATGTTAGTTGTTATTGTGTGTGTGTGTGAGTGCTCTTTTGTGTTTCCTTTGACTGCTTTTGTGGGTAGATTTTATTTTTTGCCTTTAGTTAGTATTTGATTGTTCTGCTTTCTTTGCTGTGATTTTATTTTCTCTGGTAACATCTATTTAGCCTTAGCAGTGCTTCCATCTAGAGCAGTCCCTCTAAAATACCCCATAGAGGTGGTTTGTGGGAGGCAAATTCCCTCAACTTTTGCTTGTCTGGGAATTGTTTAATCCCTCCTTCATATTTAAATGATAATCATGCTGGATATAGTATCCCTGATTCAAGGCCCTTCTGTTTCATTGCATTAAGTATATCATGCCATTCTCTTCTGGCCTGTAGGGTTTCTGTTGAGAAGTCTGATGATAACCTGATGGGTTTTCCTTTGTAGGTGACCTTTTTTCTCTCTCTGGCTGCCTTTAATACTCTGTCCTTGTCTTTGATTTTTGCTATTTTAATTATGTGTCTTGGTGTTGTTCTCCTTGGGTCCCTTCTGTTGGGAGTTCTGTGTGCTTCCATAGTCTGAGAGGCTATTTCCTCCCCCAGTTTGGGGAAGTTTTCAGCAATTATTTCTTTAAAGACACTTTCTATCCCTTTTTCTCCCTCTTCCTCTTCTGGTACCCCTATAATGTGGATACTGTTCCTTTTGGATTGGTCACACAGTTCTGTTTAAATGTTTCATTCCTGGAGATCCTTTTACCTCTCTCTGTGTTAGTTTCTCTGCATTCCCGTTCTGATTTCTGTTCCATTAATGGCCTCTTGCATCTCATCCATTCTGCTTTTAAGTCCTTCCAGAGATTGTTTTATTTCTGTATTCTCCCTCCTTAGCTCTTGCATATTTCTCTGCAAGTCCATTAGCATGGTTATTTTGTTTACTTTGAATTCTTTTTCAGGAAGTTTGGTTAAATCTATCTCCCCAGATTCCCTCTCAGGGGAGGATGTCTCGGTTAATCTGGTCTGTATCAAATTCTTCTGCCTTTTCATCGCGATAGAGGTAGTCATGGGCAGTTGGTGCATGTGTCAGCTGGGAGAACCAAGTCCCATTCCACTTGCTCCTGGCCTTCCTTTCCTGGGAGAACAGTGACCCCTAGCAACTTGTGCTAGGTAGTTGCGTGCAGACACAGTCTCTGATTCTTGTCTGGGCTGCTGTGAGGCTCCGCCCAGTTGCTGTGGGCGTGGCTGCTTTCAGGCTGTTGGTCACTATGGCGGGGCCGAGAGGGAATGGGCGGAAAGCTGCTTATTGCCAAGGGGCCTCGGAGCTGCACTGCCGCCAAGGGGGTTAGGGCGCCTGGAATTCCCTGGGATTCTCAGTTGCTGGGTTAAGTGTCCCGGGACGCTTCCGTCTAGCTGTGGGGTCCCTGTCCCTTTAAGACTTTCAAAAAGCACTTACTTTTCTTTTGTCCCAGGGTCGCTGGTTGTGCGGACCCGCTCGCAGGTTTTACTGTTTCGTTTCCCTAGAATCCAGCACAGCATGCACTGTGTGTCTGTGCTCCTGGTGCGAATGGCTAGGGCTGGGTATTTAGCATTCCTGGTCTCCCTCTCCCTCCTCGCTCTGACTCCTCTCCTTCCACTGGGAGCTGGGTGGGGTGGCGCTCAGGTCCTGACGGACCACAGCTTGTATCTTAACCCCTTCGTAAGGCACTGGGTTCTCGCAGGTGTAGATGTAGCCTGGCTGTTGTCCTGTATCTTCTGGTCTCTCTTTTAGGAATAGTTGTATTTTCAAAAATATGTATGTTTTTGGGAGGTCATTTCTGCAGTCCTACTCCCGCTGCCATCTTGGCTCCTCCCCTTCTGGACATCTGTTTTAATTATTTTGGGTGGAACAATTTTACATTCCCATGAAAAATGTATCAGCGTTCTAATTTTTCCACATCTCTATAATGAACCAACTTTTAAAATTTAAATTTAAGCAGTACTTAAAAAAAAACTACACTATACAATAAGGCACAGGGTGAAAATTTATTTATCACAGAGGTTAAGTCTAAGTATTGTATTGTATTGGTTAAGGTATAAGTATTGGAAAAGCAGGCTAGAAAAGTGCAGAGATTTACTCAAAGTCAAAGCTAAAGGACACTTCTAACAAAATGGGGTCAGGAAAGAGGAAAATATTTTAGTAGCATTCTGCAACCCTACTCTTAAATTTACTCACTCCCAGTTCCTGATACTAAAATTGTTTCCACTGTCTTTCAGAGGATGAATAAGAATATCAGTAAAAGAGGAAGAAAGATGGTTTTCAAGTGGGAGGCAGGACACTGTGTGCCACAGAGCTGTAAGCTCATCAGTTCGGCTAAATATGAGCAGCCACTTAATATATCAGAGAATGGGGTCAGCCAACTTTTAAGTGCCCATTTAAGAAAATCTACAGCTCCCAATCTCCCTACCTTTCTGTCCACCCATAAACCTTTTTGGCCCCACCCATGTTCCAAGACACATTAGAAGAGTACTCCCAAATCTTTTCTAAAGCTCCCAGTTCTTTCTTCCAAATATTTTCTAATACTTCACTTATTGGTCTGGGAGAGAAAAGGGTACTGGGGTGATGTTTTCAAGTGGATGTTTTCAAAGTGGAAAGGACAAAGGCCTCTGGCTTGGCTTCCTGCTTCAGCACTCCTGTCAGCAGGAACTCAGGTGAGAGGACGGGCAGCCCAACCCGACATGGAGTGGAGCATCGAGGGAAGTCCTGCGAGCATGTGATCACAACTCTGTGAGGCTGGGAAACAGAGCAAAGACAGAAAGTTAGGGGTGAAACAGAATCCTAGAAATAGGTTCAGGACCCACTAATTCATTGTAACATCACTAACATAGCACCTTCTTACTATGAAGCCATATGAAATACACTGCACTATGAAGTACTCTTGACAGAAAATTTATTTAGGCTGTTTATATTAGCTACAATTTACAGGAAATATAGAAGGCTGAAGAACAAGATAAATGAAATAAAAAGGGAACAAACAGAACAATCTAAATTGTGGAACATTCTAAAGGACAACTGACCTAGTTTCTGTGGGAAGTCAATGACATAAAAAAGGCTGGGTGGGTTAGGGTATGCTCTGAAGTACAAGAGAATTAAGAGATACAATTGTGGTAGTACTTGGACCTTCTTTGAATCCTGGTTTGAACTGTAAAAAGTAATTTCCAGATAACTAGAGAGATTTGATTAATGGAGTATGAGAAAATGGGCAAGAAACTATTGTTAATTTTGTTACAGATCAATAATGGCATTGTGGTTATATAAGAAAATCTACATATTTTTTAGTGATGTATGATTTAAGTATATAGGAGGTAATCATATATTTGCCATTTCCTTTGAAACACTTCAGCAAGTAAAATGAAAGAAAAAGGAAAAAAGGGATAGAACAAATGTAGTAAAACCTAAATAAACTGGTTATATTTGAGTGATTGGTATATGGAGCTTCATACATCATTCTCTCTCCCTTTGTGTATATTTGAAAACAGCTTAAATAAAAACCTGTCCATTTGGAATCAGAAGACTGCTCCCTTATTGCTATCCCTTTATATTCCACAGGTCTTCCTAGATGCTCTCACTATCCATGCTCCCATGTGTACCTCCATTTTTCCTCCAAACTTTTCCCATTCCAGCCACCTCTTTTAACTACTACCCCCATCAGATCCAGAACATACCACTCCTACCTTATAGGACCGGGGCATGCTGGGTAGGACAGTGCCTCCACAACAGCTAATGATCTCTCCCATCTGAGGTGGTGGTGGCTGGACTCCTGGGGTCACATGAATCTCATACCCCTAAAAGGAGGAAAATGGTGGAGACAGTAGATGTATGCCCTGAGAGGTCATGGGCTGTCTGGAAACCTCTGGAGGGAGGGCTGAAGTGTGGGGCAGAAGACAGCCTCTCACCTCCAGCAGCCTTCGTTTCCGAGCCTGGCTCAGGGCATCTTGCAGGCTGAAACCGAAGTTCTTCTCCTGCTCAGGATCAGTCACCACATACTCATCCGGGGGCAAGAAGTAACCAGCCTTGCGGGACTAAAGACAGTGGCAGTGAGCATCAAAGCTCAGCCCAGCCCATCACCCAGTAATCCTGCCTAGCAGTTGTAGGGAACTCACAGAATGTTTTCTGAATTGAGCCTTCTGCTTCATTAACCTCCGTTGTCCTCTTGGACCCCCTTTCTTCCCAGCACTCGAGTAGTGTCTGAGCAGTCTTCTCTGGTCACTGTTTCAATTGGTCTGTTATTATCTCCTGGACTCTTACCTGGTGCAGCCAGTCCAGGGAGAGAATGGGGATTCCTCGACCCAGGGCGAGTCCATTTGGAATCAGAAGACTGCTCCCTTATTGCTATCCCTTTATATTCCACAGGTCTTCCTAGATGCTCTCACTATCCATGCTCCCATGTGTACCTCCATTTTTCCTCCAAACTTTTCCCATTCCAGCCACCTCTTTTAACTACTACCCCCATCAGATCCAGAACATACCACTCCTACCTTATAGGACCGGGGCATGCTGGGTAGGACAGTGCCTCCACAACAGCTAATGATCTCTCCCATCTGAGGTGGTGGTGGCTGGACTCCTGGGGTCACATGAATCTCATACCCCTAAAAGGAGGAAAATGGTGGAGACAGTAGATGTATGCCCTGAGAGGTCATGGGCTGTCTGGAAACCTCTGGAGGGAGGGCTGAAGTGTGGGGCAGAAGACAGCCTCTCACCTCCAGCAGCCTTCGTTTCCGAGCCTGGCTCAGGGCATCTTGCAGGCTGAAACCGAAGTTCTTCTCCTGCTCAGGATCAGTCACCACATACTCATCCGGGGGCAAGAAGTAACCAGCCTTGCGGGACTAAAGACAGTGGCAGTGAGCATCAAAGCTCAGCCCAGCCCATCACCCAGTAATCCTGCCTAGCAGTTGTAGGGAACTCACAGAATGTTTTCTGAATTGAGCCTTCTGCTTCATTAACCTCCGTTGTCCTCTTGGACCCCCTTTCTTCCCAGCACTCGAGTAGTGTCTGAGCAGTCTTCTCTGGTCACTGTTTCAATTGGTCTGTTATTATCTCCTGGACTCTTACCTGGTGCAGCCAGTCCAGGGAGAGAATGGGGATTCCTCGACCCAGGGCGCAAAGGAACTTGACTGTCCGGCGGATCCGATCAGTCACCAGGTGGGAAGCCTCTGCCACTGAGCTGGCCAGACTTCCTCCCAGGGCCAGCACCGTATGCTCTCCACGAGCATCCACCACTCCTGTAAAGAGCACCTGTGGGGGGTGGTGAGCCAGAGCTGGTCACAGCACCCTGTGCTGTCAGCATCCATCTCCAGAATACCTGAGATCTCCTCCCACCCTCCCACATCTGTCTCCCAGGAAGCCCCCTGCTCCTTCTTTCCTACTTTGGGGGCTGTGGATCCTTGGTTAGGTTTGGTTCGTCGGAGGCTGCGGCTTGGTATTCCCTTGGGCGGCTCCTCCTCTTCCTGGTTTTTCTTTCTTTTGCCTGGTCCTGGAATCACTACATCCTGGGATGGAGGAAGATCTTTGTGGGAGTTTCTGAGCCTCCAAGCCCTTTCCTAGCTTCATGGCCCCAACCCTCTCCTCACCTCTTCTTTCCCTGGTCTCTCTGTGGGATCTTCTTCTTCTTCTTTGAAGAATGCTGTGTTCTGGGGGACCTCCCTTCTTTGGAGCTGTTTCTGAAGTGGGGTTTCTAACTCCCTGGTAGCTAAAGGCCTCTTGCGGCTTTGAGAGGACTTGGACTGGGGCTCTGGGGTGGCTCCAGATCTACCTGCTGCCTCTACCTTTTGCATCTGGGGAGCATGAATGGGTGCCTCAGGAAGCTGGGCAAAGGCAGGGTCAGGGGTGGTCCTAAGGGACTCAGCTGCTCTCACTGCTCCTCGTCTTTGGTTCCTTGAACAGGAGTTAGGTTCAGCAGGTGCAGAGCAGGGTTCCGGGACCACAGGAGCAGTGAGGGACCCGTGCTTCCTAGTGGCCCTTGGTCTCCTGCTGCAATTGGCTTGAGGGATGGGTTTAGGGGAAATAGGCTGGCCTGTAGGGACAGGAGACTGGAATTCAGGGGTGGTAGGAACTGGCACAGTACTTATTGTTGAAGACTTTAGTTTATTGCTCTGACCGCCCTGAGCTATGGCCTTGAGGGCTACAAGCTGCTCTGTGAAGGTGGGAGGTTCAAGATCAGGGGCTGTGGGTTCCATTGGTTTTGGGCTCTTGATGGAGGGTCTACGTGTCTTGCCCTGAGTGGCCCGAGATGTGGGCTCAGGAGTGACAGGCTGATCTATGGATGTAGAAGGCTGAAGTTCAGGGGCTGTAGGAACAGGTGGTTCAAGAGTCTTGGCAGAGGACCTATGTGTCCTGCCCCGAGTGGCCCGAGATGTGAGCTCAAGGGTAATAGGCTGGTCTGTGAGGGTGGAAGCCTGGAGCTCAGGGGCTGTGGGGATAATTGGTTCTGGGGTCTTGACAGAAGACCTCTGTGTCCTGCCCCGAGATGTAGGTTTGGGGGTGACAGGCTGGTCTGTGGAAGTATAAGGCTGGAGCTCAGGACCTGTGGGGACAACCGGATTGGGTGTCTTGGCAGAAGACCTACGTGCCCTGCCCCGAGTGGCCAGAGATGTGAGTTTGGGGGTGACAGGCTGGTCTGTGGAAGTGGAAGGCTGGAACTTAGGACCTGTGGGCACAACTTGTTCAGGAGTCTTGGCAGAGGACCTAAGTGTCCTGCCTTGAGTGGCCTGAAATGTAAGCTCAGAGGTGACAAGCTGGTCTGTGGGGGTGGAAGTTTGGAGCTCAGGACCTGTGGGAACAACTGGTTCAGGGGTTTTGACAGATTTATGTATACTGCCCTGAGATAGGGGTTTGGGGGAGACAGGTGGGCCTCTGGATGTGGAAGGCTGGGGCTCAGGAGCTGTGGGGACAACTGATTCAGGGGTTTTGACAGAGGACCTACGTGTCCGAGCGGCCCAGGATATGGGCATCGGGGTGACAGGTTGGTCCGTGGAGGTAGAAGACTGAAGCTCCTGGGCTAAAGGGACAACTGGTGCAGTGGTCATTTCAGAGGACCTATATGTCCTATTTCGAGTGACCCGAGATGTGGGCTTAGGGCTAAGGGGATGGTATGTAGGGGTTGCAGGTTGGGGCTCATGGGCTACAGAAGAGACTGGAGAGGGTGTCATTCTGGAGGCCCCTTGGGGCCTGACTTTGGGTTTTTTTGGGTGGAGAGGCTCTAACTCTGAGGACAAGGAAGTTTCTGAAACTTGCTGCCTCCCCTTTTTCCTGGCCTTGGGAATGGGTGGCTCTAAAGAGGGTGGAGAGGGAGAAAGGAGGGACTGGGGTACAGGATGTTTTTGGCTCTGAGAGAAGGGGGGGTTTGGCTGGGGGTCTGAGGCTTTAGGCACTGAAGAAGACAGACAGGCATCTGGGGATTGCTGATCACCCTGGGAAGAAATAGAAGCAAGCAAGGGAGGAAGAGTCAGAGGGAAGAGAGGACTTAGATACTGTTTCTCAACACTTGCTTCTGGTTAAAGTGTGCTCACTGACATTTCTCTGTCTGTTTCCTCTCTCCCATTATATGGGGAACTTCCTGGGGAGGAAGCAGTCATCCCACCCACAGACCTCTCCCCATAACCCTGGTAGAGCATCCTCTATATAGATGCTGGCAACAAAGAGGTGATTGGGAGAAAGAGGGAAATGATACAGAGAAAGGGACTTTCTAAAACAGGTGTGGAAACAGATATGGAAAACACCAGGTGCCAAGGTAAAGGGACAGAAGCCAACTAAGGAGTGGCAGAAAACAAAGAACTTTGAGAAGATGGGGAAAAGGAATTGATTAAAGCAAAGTCAGGGGAAGCGGCGTGGGGGTGGTGGAGACTATTCATGGAATAGTGGAGGTAGAGAAAGCAGCTCTCACCCTGGAAGCCTTCTCAGCAGGTGGTATCTTGCAAGTCAAGTGGCCTAGATGGAAAGTAAAGATAAATGTAGGTGAGGTTTAAGCAGTCAGTCACTTAGGGGCTGATTATCATACGGGCTGTGTACCACCTCGGGTTCCTTCTGCCTTTATTTACCCCTCCGCTGCTTCCTGGGGCTCACTGGGGCTCCCCCTCCTCCACCTGACTGACTCCCAGAAGCTACTGTGGCTGAAGCAAGTCCCTGAAGGTCCCCTGCCCCTGATGCAGGCTCTGGTGTTGGATTGAAGGCCTGCCCTTTCTGGGCTTGGCTCCCTCCCTCTGTATCCCCTGTGTGCCTCTCTGTAGTATCACTTTGGTTTCTTTGACGTCTAATCCACCTGGCTTGCCATCTCTCTGGCAGTTTCTCTGCTTCTCTCTCACAGACTTCTCTTCCAAGTGCCTGCTTTTCTATTTCTCTTGTATTTCCTTGAGTGTCTTACTTTCCACCTTCAGGCTCTCTGTATCCCTTTCAGTACTTTCACGGTCCACCTTTTGATCAGACTCCTGTCCCAGAATGTCTCTAGCTAACACCTGCTTCTGTTCTCTAGCCTGTGTCCCCATGGGTAGCTCTTCCTCTCCCATCACATCTGCTCGCTCTCCCTCTTGTGGCAGTTCCTGGGTTTCCCTCTCTAATGGCCCTCTCTCAGGCGTTGCCCTCTCTGCTCTTTCTCCTGGTATACCCATGTCTTTCTTCACAGTGTGCATTTCTCTACCCAGTGGCTCTGCATGAACTGGGCTCTTTGGATGTTGGTCTTGTGGTGTTGCCCCAGGTGGAGAGGGGCAAGATGCATGGATGTCCAAGTGGGCAGCAATGGGCTGGGGCTCTGAGGCCTCAGACTCTCTTGGACAGAATGGCTGTGTAGCCAAGACCTCCCATGGCTCTTCCAGGGCATCTAGAAGTAGTCAGAGAGAGAAAGAGAGAGAGAGAGAAGAGAGATGTAGATTGAACAAGTAATAGGCTGAGAGAAGATTAAGATAATGAATAATAAACCTAAGTGGGTTATCAAAGGAAAGCTGCGAATAAGGACAGTTACAACATTTAATGTTATTTGGAAAAGGAAGACTACACACCTTCATGTAGAAGCCTTCATAGCAGCCTCGTTAAAAATAATGCTAAACCAGCTGCTCTATGGGTCTGACAATATGGCATTTTCTGATGACATGGAGAAACATCAGCAAAATAGTGACAGAATATGAAAGAAATGTGTCAAGGGAGAAAACAAGGATGTCAAGTAAGGGACACAGAGGAGAGGAGTCTCTTCTACCTAGGGCCTGGAAGTGGCAACAGGAAGGACCAGCCAGCCTCGTGGGGTAGAAAAAACAGGAAGGCTTGGGTGGGTTCATCCTGTGTGCTTTGGACTGCAGCACAGGAAAAGATGGCCTGAGCACAGCTCCTCCACAGAACTCCAGGACTCCTGGTCTCCTGCCCCACCCATGACAGCTTTCACACCCTTCAAGGACCACCAGTCTCATCTCCCCTGGTATCCATGTAACACAGCTGTCCTCACCTTCCCGGCTCTCATCCTCTCTCTCCACAAAGCACTGGGTAGCTTGTAGGTACAGATCTTCAGAATCTAGTTGGGAAGGAATTCAGAATAGATAGTAAAAAACCACAGCTGACTCTCAATTCCTTGTTTTCTCCCCTACCCCTATCTTTGGTCTCCCCAAAATTCACATGTTGAAACCTAATTCCCAATGTGATGGTATTTGGAGGAGGGAGGTGATTAGGTCATGAGGATGGAGCCCTCATGAATGGGATTAGTGCCCTTGTAAAAGACCCCAGATCTCTCCCTTGTGCCCTACTGTCATGTGAGGACACAGTAAGAAGACAGGGGCCTATGAATAAGGAGGCAGGCCCCCACCAGAACACAACTATTCTGCCTCCCTGATCTTGGACTTCCCAGCCTACAAAACTGTGAGAAACAAATTTCTCGTTTATATGAGCCACCAGTCTATAGTGTTTTGTTATAGCAGCTCAAATGGACTAGATAACCTCTAAGCTTTCTTTCTTTTAGGGGCCTAGGGAGGAAGGTAGGCCAGCACCCACTATGATGGTTTCCTCCAGTCTTTGGTCCTATCTGCATGTGATTCTCTCGCCCTTTCTGGGGGGGCCTGGGCTCCCTCTCTCTGGGTCTGGGTGGATTCCCCTGGACTGCCTGTGATCACCACCAGATATGTTTGGTTCTCCCTTGAGACAGGGAGGAAGCCCTGCACCACCTGTGCCACAGGTGACTCACCCTGGGCCCCTGCCTCAAGTGCTCTCTCCTGCTCAAGCACAGCCCACTCCGTTCCAGCATCCCCTTCTGCCAGAAGCCGGCTGCCTCTGACATCTGCCACTGCTGAGACTGCTGAGGCTGTGCCTCCTTCCACATCTGTTCTACAGCCCCCAGCTGGAGACCAGGCTTCCTCTAGATGCACCTTAGGCAGGTCTGCTGGACCATCTTCTGCTTCCACATCTGTTTGACTTGTCCCTGCCACCAGCACCTGACGCTTCTCCAGCAGGGTAACAGCTGGCCCCAGTGGGACTTTCTCTTCTACTTGTGTGCTGACATCTACTGTGGCAGAGGCTTGGCTTCTCTCTAGGGGGACCTCAGGTAAGCTCTCATCTTCCTCCCCCTTTATATCACTGTCCCTGAGAAGAGGCTGGATCTTCTCTGAATGTGCCTTGTAGGTGTGACTCTTGGGGACAGTCTCTCTCTTTTCCACTGGGATCCCCTCCTCCTCCACATCTGTGTCACTGTCCCTCACAATAGAGGTTTGGTTTTGTTCTAGAAGGGCTACAGGTTGGGCCCTGTCCTCTTCCACAGCTGTATCTCTGCTCCACGGAATGGCTCGGCTCTCTTTTAGCTGTGCCAGAGTAAGTGCAGCTGAGACTTCTTCCTCGAGACCTGTATTGCTGCCAATCAGCACAGAGGCTTGGCTTCTCTCCAGAGGGCTTGCCAATGGGGCCTCACCCTCCTCCACATCTGTATCACTCCCAGTCTGGCTCTCTTGCTGATGGGCCAAGCCAGGTGCCTGAGAACTCCTCATACTAACTTCATAGAAGATGTGCCTCTTCTTTGTGGGAACTACAGCTGGGGTTGCAGGGATCCCCTCTTCTTCCACGTCAGTATCACTGTCTATGAAGCCAGAAAGCTGGGCCCTTTCCAAGTGGGCCTCAGCTGGCCTTCCTGGAGGCCTGCCTGCACCAGTGTCACTATCCTCCCCAGCAGGTGGACTCATCTCCAGAATCACCCCAACTGGAACTTCCCCTTTCTTTGCATCCCTCTCAACTGTTCGTTTATTGTTCCTTTCTTTCACTGAGCACTGATCCTTTTCAAGCTGGGTTTCAGTTGAGACAGTTTTAGGCTGCTCTGTCTCTGCAGTGGCACCTCTTCTAGCAGCTGAGGAGAACTTTCCTACTGCTGGTCGCTGCCTTTGTTCCTCATCTGTGTCACTGTCCAAGTTGAAGGCAAAAGGTGGCCCAGGGCCATCTGGGGCAGGAGAAGGCCCCTCTTCATCACTGTGAAAGGAAGAGAAGAGAGAATCTATAGAACCTAGTTCCCAAGGCAGGATACCCCACTCAACTCTGAGCTCTGTGAGGGCAGTATTTATTTTTCTCTCTCCAGCAATTAGTTCTCCACTTGGCACCTCAGTGGTACTCAATAAAAAAATCCAGCTGAGTGAGAGTACGCGTGGCTCCCCAGTCCTCTTTCATGGTAATCATCTCTCCTAGAGATGGATCCTCCAGTCCCTGGCTCCTCATCCTTTTGAGGACTTGGATGTCTTGCCCTTGACACTCACCTCTCTGGAACTACACTTGCCAAAGGGGAGGTCCTTGGTCCTTTCACTACACATCTTTCAGGAAGAGAATCTGCCAAGAGTAGAAGGGAGTAAGTTGACAGTTTTACACTCACCATCTCCATTTCCTTATCACCCATTCAATCCACAAACTTACCTACTTCCTCCTCTGAGTTCTCAGCCAGCAGGAGCTCCTGGGGTTGAGTTCTTCCCTGCACCCTGGGTGTCTCTTCTACAGTTAGAGGGCCCCGGGAGACATGGGGCAGGGGAACATCTAGGTGCCGGTACTGGCAGGGCAAGTCAGCAAAGAGAATCAATTCCTGGTCCCTCAGACGATGACTCATCCCAGGGCTCAGGACCTTAGGAGGCCTCAGGATTTGAGTACCATTGAGGCTCCCACAATCCCGGAGGACAGGTGCCTTGTCCAAGGCCAAAATTTCAATCACTGCATGTTGTTTGGAGATGGATGGAAAGGGCAGGGCCACGGAGCAATCGGGCATTCGGCCTATCACATTCTTCCCAAGGTAAAGTGGGAAGTCTAAGAATTAGAGAGGTAGACAGGTTAAGACGAGAGTTCTGGCCTGCTATGAAGATGATGTCTTATTAAGTACCCTGCTACTCACTCAAGATCCCTACATGCACTAGAAAATAAAAGACCCTAGGACATCTAGGCTTTGAAGAATATATGCAATATATTATTTAAAGTCAGTAAGCCATCCACCCACACTGGATTTTTTTTCTATTGTAGTAAAATATACAAAGTTTACCACCTAACCATTTTTTAAGTATACACTTCAGTGGGATTACATGCATTTACATTGTTGTGCAACCATCCATTTCCAAACAATCTTGGATTTTTATTTGAATTTCTTCATCTTCTCCTACCAAAGTAAAATCCCCCCATTGTGTCCAGGGCATTTGCCTGGAGTAATCAACTCAATCAGCCCCCTCTTCTCCATTCTCAGTAAAAAAAAAATTTTTTTAGACCTCCTTGAAACACTATAAACTTCTTGCAACCCTCCAACTACATCTCCACAAAAATAAGAAACCTATACCAGTACTTCTGCAACCAGTACTCTCTGACCTTTTTCTGGTCCATGGGCACTACTGAAGATATGCAGTTGCCCTATGGGTTTCAAGCTATACCCCAAGGATTCACTGGGTCTCTCTGTCTCCTCCTCTTCTTCAACCTCCCAGTTAATAGCCTGGGTGTCCTCCATGATCTGGGAAGGAAACACATTATCATCATCTCTGTCATTCGTTCACAAACATGGCTTTAAGAAAGAAGACTGGTAACTCAGGGTAAGCCTGGATAGTTAAGGAGGCTGATGCTTCTTGTCTGACAATTATTCTGCTGTCATCCTTCAGAAGCATTTAGAAGATATTTTTGACAGCACATAACAGAAATAAATATAATGTCCTAAATACACACATATATGTAAACATATGTGCATATTTATGTAGATAAACGTTTTTGAGAAATAATGTTTAGCCTTACTACACATAACACATTGGTGGTTTTCAGGGTATTTTTTTTCTATTCTCTATTTTTTAAATGCCAAATTGCAACCCATTAAATTTATTTCACTATCCACTAACAGGTTTCAATCCCTAGTTTGAAAAACATCATTTCAAGGGGAGCTAATTATTGCTAAGCATCAACTATGTGTCAGGTATTGTGTTATGTGTCAGGCATAGAAGCCACATGAAATAGGCATTTAGGAAACATAGGCTAAAAACATTAAATCATTTGCTCAGGATAACACAACAGGTAAGTCCAAGGATAGGAATAAATGTGCTTTTGGCTGCAAAGCCCATGCTTTTCACACTTTACCAGACCATCCCAGTGTGACCAGATTAAACTGCAAAGAATTGTAACAGCTGACATATATAGAGGCTTGCTATATGTGGGGCATTATTTGTTAGTTTATATTGACTGACTCATTTAATCATCACAAGAACCCTGTAAAAGAAGTATAATTGTTAGCTTCTATTTCTCAGATAAAGATTCTGCAGAATAGATGGGTTAAAGAACTTGCCCAAGATCACCCAGATAAGGTCTCTCCTCTGTTTAATATCTGAAGGCTTTCCATGCCACAAGATAAAATCTAAACTCTTCAGCAAGACTCTCTGTGATCTGAATGCTATGTCCTGCAATCTATCACCTTCCCTGAAAGCCTATGGTTCAGCCACATGGACCTTCTCCCTGATAGCTGAACACACTGTCACTGTTGTCCCCCACATCTGCATCACTTAGCTAGCTCCTTGGCCATTCACTCCTAGTTTTCTGCCAACTCCTACCCATCCTTTATGATTCAATTTAACTGTCACTTTCTTAGCAAAACTTTCCTGTAATAGTCCCTGCTTTCTCGTGTTGCTGGTGTATCCACATGGCCCACAGTGGTCAGCGGACTTGTGCCTAAGGCTTCTCACTACAATGTAATCATTACTTTCCATTTCTGCCTTCACACACCCCTTTGAGGACTGGATCAGCAGAACTAGGTCTTTTCCTCTGGGGTTCATCATATTCATAACAACAGTTACTTTATTCCTGCTGTTCCATTCGAAGTGTTCAGGGTACATTCATGAACCAAACGTAAAATTAACCCTGCCCTTTTGGTCAAAGAACAAATGAAAAGAGACGAAATCTCACAAAAGTATGGGTGAACATTACTTAAATGCCACGCTAGAGGAACTGCTGACAGGTAAAGTAGGACACCTTCACGGAGATAGAGCTAACTCTGTTCTTATGACTGGCAAAAGCAGGGGGTGCCCATGACGTTTGGTTTCAATTTAATGGGCCACCATCTTTGATTCCCAACCCAGTGGGTTCCCTCCTGGCCCAACGTCTCCCTGTGTCTTCATACCTAAACTCGGGGAGGGACGTCAAGTGAGGATGAGTATTACAATCCGAGAAGTAAATTTCCAAGTCTTCTCCGCCCAGTCGCACCCAAGGCACGCCTCTCCCGCCCTCCGGGAGAACCAAGATGGCACCCTGGGCGCCGTGGGCGAGGCCCCCAAGAACTCACCTACTTTGAGTCGCCGCGCGCGCCACGAGTAACGGCCACGACCTGGTGCGCGAGCGCCCTGGTCTGGAGAGAGCCAATTCGCTGATTGGCTCCTGCCGCAGTCTGTCACGGCCCTGATGCACGCCGATTGGTAAAGCCTGGGCCCAACGCGACGGCTCAACCAGAGCCTCGTCCCCGTCCCGCCCCCCTGCTGCTCAAAGGGGCCCCTCCTCCGCCGAGCCGGTTATCAGTTGAGGCGGTAATCAGAGGCCGCTGTGCGCGCATAGAATGGCGCACCTCGATTGGGCAGCTCCGAGGGACAGCCCACTACCGCTTCACCACCCACCGCCCACTTCCCGCGCAGATTTCCAAACGTGATCACAGAGTCTGGCTGTCGGCGGCGGATAGACGGCTTATCATAGTGCGTCTCGTGCGGCCAGAGCGCCCTTCCTCGGTCCTCCCAGGCATGGTGTCCGCTGACTCATGAGAAATGAAAGCGAGTGCGGGTTGCAGTCGTGTCTCGAGGCTGCAGTTTGGAGAACTGCCCTAAGGCGTGGCACTGAGGACTCTTTGCAATGGAAGTTCATTTCCTTTTGATTTGTTTTGTTTAGAAGTCCTTGTCATTTCCTCCCTGAGAATACATCCCTGACGGACATTTTCCTAAAGTAAAGATCCCTAGGCGGACAGAGAGAACTGTTTTGCTAGTCATCTTAAAGGCTTGACTGAGGTCCTTCAAGGGGCTGAAGGAAGTATGATAAAATCATCTATTTATCTCAGACTAAGACAAGAAGAAAATAATAACTATTTGACATGTATAATTTAGGAAGTCCTTTTGCATTCATTATGCCACTCCATTCTGACCACAACAAATAGGCAGAAGTAGATTTTACAGAGGGAATTGAACCTCTGTGGAGTTAATGACTTGCGGAGATTCCTACTGTTAATGTAAGGTAGAGACAGTCGTCTAATTGTAAATTTTGATGTCTCTCCACCACCACAAAATAGCTACTCCATTGTGATCATCCCCCAAAACATAAAACACTGTATTTTAAGTGGGTAGTAGGGTTTTGGACAACTTGATGTTCCTTACTTAGCACTGGAAATAAGTGAACGTGAGTTAACAGTGATGACCTTGATATCACATGTCCTCTATTATATAGTGCTTGCTGTATTGGTGTACACACTTCTCAACAAATTGCAAGATCCTGGAGACCAGGTTGCCAATTCTTAATCATTTTTCTATCCCTAACTGATGCCAGGGTTCTTGCTCGTGGAGTCGAAGAATGAACTTAGCAAACACTTAAGGTAGGAGAGCCAGGGAGAGGCTTTTATTTAAAGTGAGAGGACAGAGCTCCTAGCTCATGCCTGGAGGGGACAAGAGAGCCTGGGGTGGTGCTTTGTCTAGGGGATTTATAGGCAGTTGAGGATTTTTGGGAACGTGATAAAGGACTTAGGGGTGTGGACTTGTTAAAAGTGGTCTTAGAATGTTCATCCTTAATGAGACATTAAGTCTCTTTTCTCATCAGTCCTCCAGGTAATTCTGCAAAATTAACATAAGACATTTACTGCAGATTCTTTCCCAGAATAGCAGCTTCTTGGTCTGGGAGCATACCTGCCCTGCCCTTAATGTGGGTTGAATTATTGTCTGTTTGCCGAAGAGTTTAAGAACTGTACATCTTGGGTTTTAAAAGGCAATCTCATCTTTAAGGTGGAATCTTTCTTGCTTACTATGTTGTTTATGGCTGGGCTTGCTTGCCATATTAATTGCTCAGGTTGCAAATTACTTGATTAGGTCAGAAGGAGGAAAACAGCAAATATAGTCTGGACCTTTTAGCATGCTAAAGATAATCTTACACATGATTACAAATGATTAGCCTAATGAAAACATGGGCTATGCTGAGACTTTATCTGGGGAATATTAACTGATCCCACTGAAGAATGACTCTAGAGCTTAATGTTTTGCTAGGGGATTTCTTTGCATATAGTGCATATAGTTACATTGTTCTGACTATAATTATATTGCCTTGCTTTTTCTGAAGGCCTTCACCCTACTCTAAGCCCAAGGTCCCTGTCTCATAGCCTCTGGTTTGATGGATACTTAATAACTATGGGATGAATTAATTCCCTCAGAAGTATATCACCCTGATTTGAGTTCATCCAATTTTCTCCCATCAGTTCCCTCCACCTTTTATTCCTATTCTGAGGCTCTTGAAAGGTTGCATTGGCCAGCCACCAAGTCAGTGAAACCAGCGAACTGAAAAACCACTGACTTCATCAAAGTGTCCAGAGAGGCAGGCTGGAAGACTGAAGTTCTATCAGGCACCTCACCCTATAATTTTCGGTTTGACAAAAACACAGTCTCTTCAACACTGCTCCAAGGCCCAGATCCCCTATATGGGAAGCAGACTTCGGGCTTCACAGATCCCAAATAGCAGTTTCTCCAAACCAACTTATTCTTAGAACATACCTCAGACAGTTACACTTCTATCCTGAAAAGCCCTTGTTGCAGTTTTGTTTCTCTTTCTAAACTTTATCATTAGAGAAAACTCCCAAGAAAATAGCAGCGGGACAATCCCCTCCTCCTTCGGAGGTATCTTGGGGAGCAGCGGCTTATCGGAGATCATACTTTAGGTCACCAAAGGACTAGCAGTTAGGTATCAGCAGGGTGCCGCATTTATCCCGTTTTCGCTGAGTTAAGCAGTCTTGTCTTTCCCCCGAGCTACCGCAGTGGGGAGCTTTCAGGGCGTACCCACCCCACTTTCCAACGCCTGGCAACCCAGTGTCCCCAGTTCCTGTATCCCCGAACACTACTCCTTTTTTGTACAAAAAGCTCAGGCATAGAGGAAATAAATTTTGCGCAAGGTAATTTTATATAAAAAAACCGAAACCAAAAACCAAAACCCAGTACCCACCCATTTGTCCCTTCATTTTGCAGTGTGGACAACAATAGAGAACTACAACTCCCAGGGAGGACTGCGCTCGTCCACCCGCTCAGAGACCAATGGAAGTCTCATACACGGCTAGCGTCAACTAATCAGGGCCAGCCCGGAGGAGACTTTGTCTCCAGAGCGCGGCGCCGGGGGTGTTCTCCCGCCTCCCAGCCCTGGCGCACGCGCGCCCCACCCTGCCCGTCTTCCCTCCCTCGCCCTCCCTCCTCTTTCACCCTCTCAGAACCTTTCTGCCGCCGCGTTCGGACCTTCTGCTCCAGCCTCCGGGGCACGTCCATTCTTCCCAGCCAGCGATCAGGCGCAGAGAAAGATTACAACTCATTTTCTTGGCTCCGTACACATCTTGAGGCGAGCAAAAAATTTGAAATAAATTCGAACCATGAGGGAAATCGTGCACATCCAGGCCGGTCAGTGTGGCAACCAGATCGGTGCCAAGGTAAGCATTTTAAACTTATTTTTAAGCTGTGTTTCATTTGAGAAGAAAAAACGAGTAAATTCTGAAGAATGGTTGTGGGACATTTGCACTCTTCAGCTTTAAGCTTTGCCCCGGAAAAGTTTTCTATGTGTAATAAAACATCTGTAGCTCGAATTCGCTTTCGAAAGATGGAGTTATTTTCTTGGCAGGCTCACTTTGGGGAAGGTACTAAAAGCACCTTTCGGGTTTGGTGGGGGATTGTAAGACAGAGACTTGTTAATATTTTGCTTAAGAGGAATTCAGCTAACGGTCCTAAGACCGGGGAGGGAGGGAGTTGCGGAAACGGTCGAGACAAAGCGAGGCGGTTTTCCCCATGTGCATCCCTCTTGGCGGGGCTTCGCTGGAGGGGGCAGGGGCGCGGTTGGGCGGGCAGCTGCAGACGGCCCAGATGCCAGGTGGAGTGGGGAGCGCGGTGTGCCAAGGTGGGTTGTATTGAGCGTTACCCTTAACAAAGAACGGGATCTGAGCTCGTCCGCGGTCCCCGAGAGGCGGCCCCATAGGTTTTTGTGGATGAAAAGCATACGTGCTGGATTAATTTTACCTTCATTTCCCCTGAAGGAGACCCTTTTAGGGCGTGAACAGATCTGAAAAAGTGCGGGAGAAAGGGAGGTTGGGTCCTTTATGGAGTCCCTTCGAACCAAGTCAGAGAAAAAGCGAAGCAGTAAAATTCCGAGGCCTAGGGAGGAACTGAGGGATCCTCCTGCCCCCTTTTTTTTTTTGCGCGCGGTTACAGTGTAGCGGGGGAGGGGCAGGGAGGAAGTGCGACTGCTACGTTGTAGCAGAAGGGCGGGGCTCCTGGCGCTCAGGGACAATGCAGCCCGGCGGGACCGGGACGCCCGAGCTGCGCCCCGCCCACGCGCAAGGCCTTTTGTCGGCGGCTGGGGGCGCCTGTGCGCCGCAGTCACGTGGACGGTTGGGACGGGGGGCGGGGTCGACTGCGGTAGCGGGTTTCTGCTTCCCCCGGCCCTTTGTGTGCCTCGTGGAAGGGCGGTGCCGGGGGTGGTGGGTGGTAGGGAGGGGCGCTTCTCCCCTTCTCCGGTCCGTCAGCCTCACCCCCCACCCCACCCCGGTGCCTGTAATCGCCTGGCCCTCCACTTTCCAGCTGCAGCTCATACTCGAGGTAGTGAAATCTGCGGCTTTCCCGGGGGTGCGGGCATTAAGGGGAAGGGTGTGGCAGGCAGATAGAGAAAGGCAGGCCCTGGAATGGAGCGTGTGTGTGGAATAAAACTGTATGGAGGGACGTCATAGGCTGGGTCCAGACCTGTTAAGGCCTCATTACTTTTCCCTGGCAGTTCTGGGAGGTGATCAGTGATGAACACGGCATCGACCCCACCGGCACCTACCACGGGGACAGTGACCTACAGCTGGACCGCATCTCCGTATACTACAATGAAGCCACAGGTGAGGGCAGGAGCCCGGGAAGCTCGGCTTCCATTCCTGGAGAAAACACCTTAACCCCTTTTGGATGAATCCATTATCCTTTCCTTTTGAGACCTTACTTGAGTAGGGCCAAAGTGGCTCTCTTACCACCTGGTGGCAGTGCCTGTAATCACAAGTTTGGGTTCATGGCTGTCCCCAGCCCCCAGTTTACTTTCCTGTCGGCTAATTAGTACTTTTCTTCCCTGTAGGTGGCAAATATGTTCCTCGTGCTATCTTGGTGGATCTGGAACCCGGGACCATGGATTCAGTCCGTTCAGGTCCTTTTGGTCAGATCTTCAGACCAGACAATTTTGTTTTTGGTGAGTTAAACATAATTGTTAAATCTGACATATTTGGGTCCAAGGAAACAGCAAGAATTAGATGGTTGTGTACTAGAAAGCTTAGGGTTATGTTCTGAAATCTCTAATGTGGGGTGTAGTGACTGCCCAAGTGGTAAATGAGTGGGGAGATGTATCACAGGTGAGGCAGAAGGAAGATAATATCCTTGGGTGTTACTCCAGGAGTTGAAAGGTAGAAATGTGGTCATGTGTCCTCCAAACTTTACTAATCAATCTTGCTTTCTGACCCCTTTCCAGGTCAGTCTGGGGCAGGCAACAACTGGGCCAAGGGCCACTATACTGAAGGGGCTGAGCTGGTTGACTCAGTCTTGGATGTCGTGCGGAAGGAGGCAGAGAGCTGTGACTGCCTGCAGGGCTTCCAGCTGACCCACTCACTTGGCGGAGGCACAGGCTCTGGAATGGGCACCCTGCTCATCAGCAAGATCCGTGAAGAGTACCCCGACCGCATCATGAACACCTTCAGTGTGGTGCCCTCACCCAAAGTGTCTGACACCGTGGTTGAGCCCTACAATGCCACCCTCTCTGTCCATCAGTTGGTAGAGAACACTGATGAGACCTACTGCATTGACAACGAGGCCCTCTATGACATCTGCTTCCGCACCCTGAAGCTGACCACACCAACCTACGGGGACCTGAACCACCTCGTCTCAGCCACCATGAGCGGTGTCACCACTTGCCTCCGCTTCCCTGGGCAGCTCAATGCTGACCTGCGCAAGCTTGCAGTGAACATGGTGCCCTTCCCACGTCTCCACTTTTTCATGCCTGGCTTTGCCCCTCTAACCAGTCGTGGAAGCCAGCAGTATCGGGCCCTCACTGTGCCTGAGCTCACCCAGCAGGTCTTCGATGCCAAGAACATGATGGCTGCCTGTGACCCCCGCCATGGCCGGTACCTCACTGTAGCTGCTGTCTTCCGCGGGCGGATGTCCATGAAGGAGGTTGATGAGCAGATGCTCAACGTACAAAACAAGAATAGCAGCTACTTCGTGGAATGGATCCCCAACAACGTCAAGACGGCCGTCTGTGACATCCCACCCCGTGGCCTCAAGATGGCAGTCACCTTCATTGGCAATAGCACAGCCATCCAGGAGCTCTTCAAGCGCATCTCAGAGCAGTTCACTGCCATGTTCCGCCGGAAGGCCTTCCTCCACTGGTACACAGGTGAGGGCATGGACGAGATGGAATTCACTGAAGCTGAGAGCAACATGAATGACCTCGTCTCTGAGTACCAGCAGTACCAGGATGCCACCGCAGAAGAGGAAGAGGATTTTGGTGAGGAGGCTGAAGAGGAGGCCTAAGGCAGAGCTCCATCACCTCTGGCTTCTCAGTTCCCTCAGCCTTCTTCCTCAACTGCCCCTTTATTCTCCCTCAAAATTTGCATCTTCTGCCTCTATCTTTTTTCTTTTGTGAGGAGTGTGTCTAGAACAGTGCCTCACATAATAGGCACTCAATAAATATTTGTTGAATGTCTCCTCTCTTCACTCTGGAAAACCTAGATTTCTGCCATAGTAGGTAACCCTGTATTCCCTTCTGGTGCCCATGCAGTTAATACTTGCTGTGTTTTAAAGATAATCCTCCAAGAAGGCTGGTGTTACCAGATCACATTTAGACCCATATGCTGAAAACCCAGACAGATGGCTACCATCCTGATCCTGTGTGGTGGCCCAGGAAAAAGGAAACCCAAGCTACCTTGCAGCAGGTAGAAGACCCTACAAGGAAGGTGTGTGGTCTTACAATCTAGAGCTAGCTAATTTTGGGGGGGTGGAACGGGACAGACTGTTGGGAGTCCTAATTTCCAGGTGTTTCCCTGCTGTTCTTTGAGCTTCTGGGGAGGTATTAATGGTGTTATCTCCAGATTTAGTCTCCCTCCAAACTCTGATCTGAGCTGTTTGTGCAATGGTCTACCCCACCATCCAGTGGGGTCCTTCCCTCTCCCATGTTACCTCCCTCACAGGATTGGAGAAAGGGGGTCAAGAGAGGGAAGAGACCAGCCTTGGTCCCTAGCCTTTGGAAATTTGCAAAGGTCTTACCCATACCCACCTTTTCTTAGCTCTAGAATACCAGCCCTGCTATACACACACAAGGGGGGAGGTGTGTACTGCCAGTGAAATGGATCAAGTCATTCTGTAGAGGGGAATGGACAGGAGGCCCATCTTGGCAACATCTCTGCTTCCTTCTTGCTATTGCTTTTTCCTTTACTCTTGGTTTTGTTCTGTACTTCAAGTTTCTATTTTGTGTTGAACTTGTTTTTCATATTGAAAAAAACATTGCCCTGAGAGCCAGAAAATAAATGGGAAATGAAAAAAGTGGTGAGATGTGTGCTCATTTAGGGAAAGGTTGCTGGTGGAGGCATTGGGACTCAAGTTGAGCTACACATATACTCTGCTCTCCCTAAACGATGAGAATATCTTTATACTTAATTCATCCTCTTATTTTCCTGGGCCCCAAACCACCCACCTCCTCCAAGAACCAGTCTTAGTAACTGGGATAGGCATAGGCCCACATGCAGAACCAAGGTAGAAATGGGAACTGAGATCAGTGTCAGTGTATAATGAATTGTTCCCCTGGAACTTGCAGAAATGTGTATCCTCAGGCCTACCCAGATGCACTGGACCAGAAACCTGTGGGCACTGTTTTGGAGAATCTCAAGTGCAGAGTTGAAAGCCACCACTACACCATTTCCTATGTAGAGCAAACCCAGGATTCCTTTGGGTTACAGGGATCTTGCTGTTTCCTATTTGCATGTTTTTCAGTCAACCTAAGGCTAAGATAACTAATGGGGAATGCTACATCATTGGCCCATTCTAAACTATGCTGCACATAATACCTGTCTCATGCTTCTTGTAAGTGAAAAAGCTATCCTGGAGATTTAACAGTCAATTTAATTTGGGGACTAATGCAATTTTCAACACGTTACAATTCAGCATGCTTTCCTGATTATAACCAAATTTTGAGGGAAAGTTTTCTACAGTAGACTATTCTCACATTCTAAAAAGCATACTGAATACAAGGGAGTAAGCTACATTCTAGCATTCATTCTGAATGAGTTCTACATTATTGCTTGTAAGCAAGCAGTATTTAATAGCAATTTATTTGACAAAGCTGAGGAACTCCAGGCCATCTCTCAGTCTTGGTCAGGAAAGAGTTCTAAGAAACAAGTTCAGACAGTCTGATTATGAAGTTAAACTGGGGAGGGTAGAAGAATCAAGGCTGGATGGGACCCCTGGGTTGGCAGTGTGGGGTTAGGAAGGGAAGCCACCCATTCCCTCCAAGGCAAGGTACAGGTATTTGTTGAGACAGGGATGGAACCCCACTGTAAAAGGACATGTGCAGGGAGGCCAGCTGAAGTGCGTGCAACCTGGGGGCTGTTCCATCAACGAGCCATGAAGCGAGGCATCGGCGAAGGTTGGGGGCTCAGGCTGTTCGCAAAGGCTTGTGGTTCACCTGGCAAAAAGACAACACTGATGAAAACTTGGGAACCAGGCATCTTACTCTCCTGGACCATTTGGATGAAGGGCCTGCAGGGAGGATGTGTACTTAGGAATCTAATGTTTTTTTCTGGCACTACAGCTTGCCCGCTTTCACCAAGCAGGCCTTAACAATCCATGTATAACAAATCAATAGGGGGCTGACGGCCAGAGCCCTATCTGCACACAGACCCTCCTTAACTCCCAATCTTCCCCTGCAGGCCTTAGGGAGGCTCTAAGGAACCCAGCTGGAATGTCACTGGTATGGTCCAGTGCTTTATACATGTGTTTAATTTAGCACATACTATGTCACTCTTGTGAACACTACAAATGTTTACTCAAACGTTTAATTCCCATAACAATTCAACAGTTACTATTAACCCGATTTTAAGATGAGGACACAGGTACAGAGCTCATAATTTATACAAGGTCACAACCTGCTTCCAGAGCCCACTCTGACCTCTACCATAATCTATAGGTAAATAAATAGGAACCAAGAAAAGCAGTGACAGCCCCTGGAATTAACTGATTGTCAACAAACAGCAACTAATCCCTTATACTAGTGGGGTGACCATAAGCACAGGCTCCAGAGACAGTTGGCCAGGGTCTGAAGCCCAGCTTCACCAGCTGTATGACAATGGACAATGGGATAAGTTACTTAACATGCTGAAGTTCAGTTTCTTTACTTTGTAAAACACTATATACCCAAAGGATATTTGATTAAAAAAAAAATTTAAACCATTTGTGTAGAAGCTTAAGCAATGTGTATGGCACCTAGAAAGCTATTAATAAATGTGAGCGGCCCCTAGGCCTGGGTGTTGGGTCCAGCACTAGGCCTGCTGTGTCACAGGCCCCAGGAACCCAGCAATTCTGCTCCACAGCCCCCACCCTAGTATCCTCACCTGGGAGATGCTGATGCCAGTGAGTCTCTCCACATTCTCTGGCAGGCAGCTCAGGATGTCCAGTACTTCTCCAGTCACTTTGGCTGCCCCCACAGCCCCACTTCCACTGGATACCAGTGTGATCTTATTGGCCGAGGTCAAGGGACCACTGATCTCCTCTGCCACCTGGTAAATCAGAGATGCCCACTCAGCAGCTGTGGTCTTAACACATCCCTCCTAAAACACCTTACCCAGGGTTTTAAGATCCTTGTTCTTCACTGGTGAGGACCATCTGTCCTCATTCTGCTCACTAGCTTGTAATTCTCACTCATTTCCAGTCCCCTAGCCTGGTTGGTTCTCCCCAAGCTCTTATTTCTCCACCATTCCTCAATCCCCAGTTCTGTTCCTCCTCTCCTGCTGCCACAAAACCCCCAGACCTGGGGCAGCTTCTCCAGCAGCATGTCCAACTGAGCAGCCTCCTGGTACAGCTGGAATGCCTCCGCCTTCTTGACCATCTGCTCAGCCTCAGCCCGGGCCCGGGCCGCTATGGCAAAGGCCTGAGCTTCTCCACGCATCTGAGGAGGGCGTAGGATACTTGTGGTACTGATGGCAGCAGTTAAAGAAACCCCAGCTCAAGAAGCAACCCACACTCCTTCCACAGGCCAGCAAGCGCTGTCTCCCAACTCACCCGCACGGATTCAGCTTCTGCCTCTGCCTGCATAATCAGCTGGGACCTGGGCACAGAAGGGAAGTGGGGGAAGGGGCTGAATTGGGTGGGGACCTTGCTCCTGGGAGACAGGCAGGCCCAGCATTGGACAGAGGCTTCAGCAACTGGGCTTCACAGGGGAGTACAGGTGGTGAAGGAGACAGGAGCAGGGCCAGGGAGGGGGCTTTTACTTTTCTGCCTCCGCCAAGCGCTCCAGCTTGTAGCGCTCTGCTTCTGCAGGCTTCACAACTCTGGCCTCCAGCTCCTTCTCACGGCGGGCGATCTCCTGCTCCTGCACTGCCACCTGCTGGGCACGCTCCACCACCTGTACCTGCACACGCTGCTCCTCTATCTGCTGCTTAGTCTTGGCCACCTGGGCAGGAGGGACACTCAGCGCCAAAATGCAAGAGCCAGTGCCCAGGCACAGAGCCAAGGCCAAGGCTCCAGGGTGAGATATAAAGGTGGAATAGGTATGTGAGGTTGGTCCCCGGTGGGCTCAGCCAGTACAGTGTAGTCCATTTCCCATACAGATCCCAAGCATGGTCTTGGGGTGGCCTGATCCTCCTCAGAGCCAGTATGAAGGGTAGGGCATTCCCTAGGCAGCCTCAGTGTCAGAGTTGGGTGGGACTGGGATCCAGTCCCTGTTCTCTCATGTCAACTGAAGTGCCCCTCTGATGAGCCACCCATATTAGCTTTTCTCCCTTTTCTCCCTCTAGGGTACTAGCACCTGGAGAGCACTGGGCACATGGTGGCCATCTCCCACCTCCAGTCTTGCTCAAACCTATCCACTTCCCTCCCTCTGTGCTGCTGCTGTCAGTTCGAGCCCTGACTACTGCAATAGCCTCCTACTGACTTTCTCTGTGTGTCAACCTTTTTCATTTTTATCTTTTGTATATGGTAAAAATTCAAAAGAAGAAAAGTAAACAGTGAGAAGTAAGGCTTCCTCCCACCTATTTCCTCAACCACCTTGTTCCTTTACCCAGACTGTGAATAGCTTCTTGTGTATTCTTCCAGGGACACTCCAAGCATCTACAAGAACATGAATACATGAATTCCTTGTATTTAGGCAGACATTTTCTTATTCCTTGTAGAGTACAGGGATCAGAAAGCTCTTGCTGAGATGCTGGTGAGGCAAGGCACAGTGGAGGTACACGCTTGTTTGCTCATTGCTCTGGCTCAGCCACGCATCCTCATCTCTGTGGGTCTCATCAGTACAAGAGATAGCACCCCTGCCTTTACTAGGCCTACACTGTAAGTCCAGAGGAAGGGTACTTTTTGGATATGGCTNTTCGCTGAGTTAAGCAGTCTTGTCTTTCCCCCGAGCTACCGCAGTGGGGAGCTTTCAGGGCGTACCCACCCCACTTTCCAACGCCTGGCAACCCAGTGTCCCCAGTTCCTGTATCCCCGAACACTACTCCTTTTTTGTACAAAAAGCTCAGGCATAGAGGAAATAAATTTTGCGCAAGGTAATTTTATATAAAAAAACCGAAACCAAAAACCAAAACCCAGTACCCACCCATTTGTCCCTTCATTTTGCAGTGTGGACAACAATAGAGAACTACAACTCCCAGGGAGGACTGCGCTCGTCCACCCGCTCAGAGACCAATGGAAGTCTCATACACGGCTAGCGTCAACTAATCAGGGCCAGCCCGGAGGAGACTTTGTCTCCAGAGCGCGGCGCCGGGGGTGTTCTCCCGCCTCCCAGCCCTGGCGCACGCGCGCCCCACCCTGCCCGTCTTCCCTCCCTCGCCCTCCCTCCTCTTTCACCCTCTCAGAACCTTTCTGCCGCCGCGTTCGGACCTTCTGCTCCAGCCTCCGGGGCACGTCCATTCTTCCCAGCCAGCGATCAGGCGCAGAGAAAGATTACAACTCATTTTCTTGGCTCCGTACACATCTTGAGGCGAGCAAAAAATTTGAAATAAATTCGAACCATGAGGGAAATCGTGCACATCCAGGCCGGTCAGTGTGGCAACCAGATCGGTGCCAAGGTAAGCATTTTAAACTTATTTTTAAGCTGTGTTTCATTTGAGAAGAAAAAACGAGTAAATTCTGAAGAATGGTTGTGGGACATTTGCACTCTTCAGCTTTAAGCTTTGCCCCGGAAAAGTTTTCTATGTGTAATAAAACATCTGTAGCTCGAATTCGCTTTCGAAAGATGGAGTTATTTTCTTGGCAGGCTCACTTTGGGGAAGGTACTAAAAGCACCTTTCGGGTTTGGTGGGGGATTGTAAGACAGAGACTTGTTAATATTTTGCTTAAGAGGAATTCAGCTAACGGTCCTAAGACCGGGGAGGGAGGGAGTTGCGGAAACGGTCGAGACAAAGCGAGGCGGTTTTCCCCATGTGCATCCCTCTTGGCGGGGCTTCGCTGGAGGGGGCAGGGGCGCGGTTGGGCGGGCAGCTGCAGACGGCCCAGATGCCAGGTGGAGTGGGGAGCGCGGTGTGCCAAGGTGGGTTGTATTGAGCGTTACCCTTAACAAAGAACGGGATCTGAGCTCGTCCGCGGTCCCCGAGAGGCGGCCCCATAGGTTTTTGTGGATGAAAAGCATACGTGCTGGATTAATTTTACCTTCATTTCCCCTGAAGGAGACCCTTTTAGGGCGTGAACAGATCTGAAAAAGTGCGGGAGAAAGGGAGGTTGGGTCCTTTATGGAGTCCCTTCGAACCAAGTCAGAGAAAAAGCGAAGCAGTAAAATTCCGAGGCCTAGGGAGGAACTGAGGGATCCTCCTGCCCCCTTTTTTTTTTTGCGCGCGGTTACAGTGTAGCGGGGGAGGGGCAGGGAGGAAGTGCGACTGCTACGTTGTAGCAGAAGGGCGGGGCTCCTGGCGCTCAGGGACAATGCAGCCCGGCGGGACCGGGACGCCCGAGCTGCGCCCCGCCCACGCGCAAGGCCTTTTGTCGGCGGCTGGGGGCGCCTGTGCGCCGCAGTCACGTGGACGGTTGGGACGGGGGGCGGGGTCGACTGCGGTAGCGGGTTTCTGCTTCCCCCGGCCCTTTGTGTGCCTCGTGGAAGGGCGGTGCCGGGGGTGGTGGGTGGTAGGGAGGGGCGCTTCTCCCCTTCTCCGGTCCGTCAGCCTCACCCCCCACCCCACCCCGGTGCCTGTAATCGCCTGGCCCTCCACTTTCCAGCTGCAGCTCATACTCGAGGTAGTGAAATCTGCGGCTTTCCCGGGGGTGCGGGCATTAAGGGGAAGGGTGTGGCAGGCAGATAGAGAAAGGCAGGCCCTGGAATGGAGCGTGTGTGTGGAATAAAACTGTATGGAGGGACGTCATAGGCTGGGTCCAGACCTGTTAAGGCCTCATTACTTTTCCCTGGCAGTTCTGGGAGGTGATCAGTGATGAACACGGCATCGACCCCACCGGCACCTACCACGGGGACAGTGACCTACAGCTGGACCGCATCTCCGTATACTACAATGAAGCCACAGGTGAGGGCAGGAGCCCGGGAAGCTCGGCTTCCATTCCTGGAGAAAACACCTTAACCCCTTTTGGATGAATCCATTATCCTTTCCTTTTGAGACCTTACTTGAGTAGGGCCAAAGTGGCTCTCTTACCACCTGGTGGCAGTGCCTGTAATCACAAGTTTGGGTTCATGGCTGTCCCCAGCCCCCAGTTTACTTTCCTGTCGGCTAATTAGTACTTTTCTTCCCTGTAGGTGGCAAATATGTTCCTCGTGCTATCTTGGTGGATCTGGAACCCGGGACCATGGATTCAGTCCGTTCAGGTCCTTTTGGTCAGATCTTCAGACCAGACAATTTTGTTTTTGGTGAGTTAAACATAATTGTTAAATCTGACATATTTGGGTCCAAGGAAACAGCAAGAATTAGATGGTTGTGTACTAGAAAGCTTAGGGTTATGTTCTGAAATCTCTAATGTGGGGTGTAGTGACTGCCCAAGTGGTAAATGAGTGGGGAGATGTATCACAGGTGAGGCAGAAGGAAGATAATATCCTTGGGTGTTACTCCAGGAGTTGAAAGGTAGAAATGTGGTCATGTGTCCTCCAAACTTTACTAATCAATCTTGCTTTCTGACCCCTTTCCAGGTCAGTCTGGGGCAGGCAACAACTGGGCCAAGGGCCACTATACTGAAGGGGCTGAGCTGGTTGACTCAGTCTTGGATGTCGTGCGGAAGGAGGCAGAGAGCTGTGACTGCCTGCAGGGCTTCCAGCTGACCCACTCACTTGGCGGAGGCACAGGCTCTGGAATGGGCACCCTGCTCATCAGCAAGATCCGTGAAGAGTACCCCGACCGCATCATGAACACCTTCAGTGTGGTGCCCTCACCCAAAGTGTCTGACACCGTGGTTGAGCCCTACAATGCCACCCTCTCTGTCCATCAGTTGGTAGAGAACACTGATGAGACCTACTGCATTGACAACGAGGCCCTCTATGACATCTGCTTCCGCACCCTGAAGCTGACCACACCAACCTACGGGGACCTGAACCACCTCGTCTCAGCCACCATGAGCGGTGTCACCACTTGCCTCCGCTTCCCTGGGCAGCTCAATGCTGACCTGCGCAAGCTTGCAGTGAACATGGTGCCCTTCCCACGTCTCCACTTTTTCATGCCTGGCTTTGCCCCTCTAACCAGTCGTGGAAGCCAGCAGTATCGGGCCCTCACTGTGCCTGAGCTCACCCAGCAGGTCTTCGATGCCAAGAACATGATGGCTGCCTGTGACCCCCGCCATGGCCGGTACCTCACTGTAGCTGCTGTCTTCCGCGGGCGGATGTCCATGAAGGAGGTTGATGAGCAGATGCTCAACGTACAAAACAAGAATAGCAGCTACTTCGTGGAATGGATCCCCAACAACGTCAAGACGGCCGTCTGTGACATCCCACCCCGTGGCCTCAAGATGGCAGTCACCTTCATTGGCAATAGCACAGCCATCCAGGAGCTCTTCAAGCGCATCTCAGAGCAGTTCACTGCCATGTTCCGCCGGAAGGCCTTCCTCCACTGGTACACAGGTGAGGGCATGGACGAGATGGAATTCACTGAAGCTGAGAGCAACATGAATGACCTCGTCTCTGAGTACCAGCAGTACCAGGATGCCACCGCAGAAGAGGAAGAGGATTTTGGTGAGGAGGCTGAAGAGGAGGCCTAAGGCAGAGCTCCATCACCTCTGGCTTCTCAGTTCCCTCAGCCTTCTTCCTCAACTGCCCCTTTATTCTCCCTCAAAATTTGCATCTTCTGCCTCTATCTTTTTTCTTTTGTGAGGAGTGTGTCTAGAACAGTGCCTCACATAATAGGCACTCAATAAATATTTGTTGAATGTCTCCTCTCTTCACTCTGGAAAACCTAGATTTCTGCCATAGTAGGTAACCCTGTATTCCCTTCTGGTGCCCATGCAGTTAATACTTGCTGTGTTTTAAAGATAATCCTCCAAGAAGGCTGGTGTTACCAGATCACATTTAGACCCATATGCTGAAAACCCAGACAGATGGCTACCATCCTGATCCTGTGTGGTGGCCCAGGAAAAAGGAAACCCAAGCTACCTTGCAGCAGGTAGAAGACCCTACAAGGAAGGTGTGTGGTCTTACAATCTAGAGCTAGCTAATTTTGGGGGGGTGGAACGGGACAGACTGTTGGGAGTCCTAATTTCCAGGTGTTTCCCTGCTGTTCTTTGAGCTTCTGGGGAGGTATTAATGGTGTTATCTCCAGATTTAGTCTCCCTCCAAACTCTGATCTGAGCTGTTTGTGCAATGGTCTACCCCACCATCCAGTGGGGTCCTTCCCTCTCCCATGTTACCTCCCTCACAGGATTGGAGAAAGGGGGTCAAGAGAGGGAAGAGACCAGCCTTGGTCCCTAGCCTTTGGAAATTTGCAAAGGTCTTACCCATACCCACCTTTTCTTAGCTCTAGAATACCAGCCCTGCTATACACACACAAGGGGGGAGGTGTGTACTGCCAGTGAAATGGATCAAGTCATTCTGTAGAGGGGAATGGACAGGAGGCCCATCTTGGCAACATCTCTGCTTCCTTCTTGCTATTGCTTTTTCCTTTACTCTTGGTTTTGTTCTGTACTTCAAGTTTCTATTTTGTGTTGAACTTGTTTTTCATATTGAAAAAAACATTGCCCTGAGAGCCAGAAAATAAATGGGAAATGAAAAAAGTGGTGAGATGTGTGCTCATTTAGGGAAAGGTTGCTGGTGGAGGCATTGGGACTCAAGTTGAGCTACACATATACTCTGCTCTCCCTAAACGATGAGAATATCTTTATACTTAATTCATCCTCTTATTTTCCTGGGCCCCAAACCACCCACC